ATGTATGTATGTATGTATGTGTGTGTGTATATATGTGTGTGTTTGTGCATATATGTATGTATGTGTATATATATATGTGTGTATGTGTGTATATATATATATATATATATTAGTGTGTGTGTATTAATGTATGTATGTGTATGTGTGTATATATATATATATATATATATATATATATATATATATATATATATATATATATTCCAGGGTGTCTTTGAGCCGTGTGATATTCTTTAACATACCATATATATCCCCCAGGGTGATGCCGGTGTTGTGCTCGGTACCTCTTAGGGCTGGTTCACACTATAGAAACACAGTCCAGATGCATTCTGAAATTAACACGTTCCAGTGCGTTTTTTTTTTTTTTTTTAATGCATTCCAGTTCATTTTTTCTCCTCTTTCTTCAATCGAAATAGGGACATGCGCGTTTTTTGGTGCACGTTGATGCGTTTGTGACATGTTTCAGTGCTTTTTTTTATGCATTCCAGTTCATTTTTTTCCCCCTCTCTACTTTTTTGCTTCTGCAACTGGAACGCACTGGAACTGCAAGCACTGATGTGAACTATGACATTGACAACCATATAACCTACTTTCTCTGCATTTTGGATGCAGAAAAAATTATTTGCCCTTACTCAAGATGGCCACTGCCAGAAATGCCTGGGGGGTATTTTTCAAAATGATTTCTCAACAAAATAAATCATGGCGACACACAGATAGATAGGGGGAGTTTTCTTTGATTATAAAAAATGAATTAAATCGTATTTTTGGCTTGTGGTGCTCAGATGCACTGCAGTTCTACTTTAATATTTTGTAGACTCCTAATAGGAGGAGCTGGAATTCATGAAAGTGGGTGGGGGCAGCCCAACTCCCATGTGGACCAGAATTACGGCAGGGAGATCTCAAAATTGGAGTTCTACTTTAGCCAGTCATCAGGTAGGTTGTTTCCCCGGAGTCAGATGTTCCCAGGAGAGGACCTCTTCAATCTTTGTTTATCCTTTTAAGGTCCCAGAGGACGAACGCTATTAATAAGCAAACTCGCAAAATCAGCAGCCTCCGGTTTAGGAAAGTGGCCTCTTAAATAAATGATGTGTGAAGAGACGAAGACTGCTTAGTAAACAATGTCAGTGGGATGTACATTTCATTCTGCCAAACTCCATTATCATATTAGAGATCCTGAGTCACCATCCAGGGACACTTGGGCGACACTTCGGGAGCGAGGAGAAAATTGCCGCAAATGTTTTCCCATTAAGGAACCTGTCATTACCAGTTCCACTCACCATTACTTTGTATTTTCCATTTATTTCACACGTTTTAAGATCGAGAACCACTGTAGTGAAAGATGCTGGTTGTCATTCTAGAACAATAGTTCTCCACAGACATGGCGGGCTTGGAGCTTTACTCTGGGATAAGCAAATGTTGTCTACTTGTATTCTTAACGTAGAACTATAGGCAAAACTTTTTTTTCCATTTTGGATAGCACAAGGGCGGGTTATAGCCCCTGCCAGATTTTTTTTTTGCCCTTTGTCCCATTGTGGAGACTTTCCTTCACTTCCTGTCCCATAGCCAAAACAGGAAGTGAAATCCTGAAAAATGAGGAAGTCTCTTGGGGATCTCCAATTCACCAGTGTCCCCATTGGAGGATTTCCACTCTCTTTTCTGGGGACAACCCAAAATTTAGAATTTTTCCTTTTATTTTCACTTTCAATGATAATGGTAAACAGGACAAAGAGAGAGAGGGTGGATTTCCCTAACGGGGACCCAGAAAGCAATAAAAATTGGCAAGTGTTTTGATCCTTCACCTCTTTCCAAGACTAAAAAAAAAGTTGTATCCTTCGTTATACTTTAAGCTGTGTACACACATACCAAACATTACCTGGTTCAGCAGGAAGCAGCCAACTTTCAGTATGTGTGTACTTTTCTCTAATCCTCAGAAGCCGGACTAACTGGCCTGCATCAGATATAAATCACCGGTATATCAATTTGATATCCATGCTGTCACCAAAAACATCAGCAAAGATTAGAACCCGCCATAGTGCCCGACATAAGACAAAAAGATTGTGAAAACAAGCAGAAAGAGCCGCACCTCCAGCATCTGGCGAGCGTGATGACGTAACCAATTAAAGGATAAGTTCACTTTTTGAGAAGAAAAAATATAAATGCACATCTTTTTGCAGGTAAAAGGAACCTGCAAAGCATTGCTGTTGGCGGTTGTAGTGCAGGGCTCCTGCAGACTGCCTCATACAGGAAGCATCAATGAACTACCTAGAGCACTCCACAATGTCCTGGTAGTTCATTGAGCACTACAAGTCGACAGCCACAATGGCTATTGGTACTTGTAGTTCTCTCATTCACAGTACTCTATGATTGACGTGGTTGGGTGGGTGGAGCCCTGCACATTCACGCTGTTTAAAATTGTGACAGCGAGTGCGCCGAGAAGATCCCCCGCTCGCTGTCACAATGGGAGATTGGGGCATGGGGGGGCGGGGTCTGCAGCAACAGTAACATGTTACCTGAATACGGGTGTGACATGTTACAAAAGGCAAACTTATCCCTTAAGCCCCACCCAACGTGATTCATTGGCAGAGAATATCGCCAACAATGGCTGTTTACACTATGTCAGCTTCTGTTCTTCTCTGATGCTTGTGAGGACCATATGGATATCAAATTGGAATTCTGGGGATTGTTTTTTATTTGATGCAGACCTGATGTCTTGGTGCTGGGACTGATTGCATTGGAGAACTCCCTCTGTGGCTCATTTTATCAGTTTTATTGATCTCTTTATAATCTGACAAATCAGTTTATTCTGGTAAGAGGCTGTGGAGTGCTTGGTGATGGGCACAGATGGTGAACAATTATCCACTGACTGACTTTTTTGGAGGGCCTTTTTATTTGTTTTTTCACTTAGTACTTTTATTGGACATTTATATGTTGCGTGTTTTATTATTTGGTACGCAGTGACTGTGGACATTGGTTTGATTATATGTGGGTGCGCACTTAAAATGATGTACCAACCAGGGGCGGACTGACAACTCATGGGGCCCCCGGGCAATTGGGGATCATGGGGCCCCTGTGTCCTTGCCCAAACTCAAAAAAGCCTATGAAAAAGGTACCAGGGGCATCTCATGGGGCCCCCTACTAACCCCAGGCCCTCGGACAGTGCCCGAGTTTCCAAATGGTCAGTCCGCCCCTGGTACCAACTGTTATTTGTCTAGTATTCAGATAATTGTGAGTGCAGCTCCTGGCATGTAGCAACACACTGAGCGCAGAAAGTTTTTTTTTTTTTTTTTTTTTTTTCTTTTTTTTTAGATGCACTGTTTAGATTTACATATTGCACATTCACCTCAGTCCCTGCTGACAAGGAACTTCTAGTCTTAAAGCGGTTGTAAACCCCTACATATACCCAGTGAAGTGACTGGCCTCAGGTAATACACAGAGATGAAAGAAATCTTCCTACAAACGTTGTACCTGTTTATCTGCAGTCTTCTCTTCTCTACATCCATTCAAGGTGCTGGCTTTTTAAATTTGTCTGAGAGTTCAAAAAAATGGTACGGAGAGAGGAAGTTACGCAATGCAGTGTTTAGTGAGTAGAGTTCTGAAAGATGATTGGACGGAAGCCTCCTCCACACAGCACACAGAAACACAACGGAGTCTGTCAATCTGCTGGGGGTCCCCTCCCCATTTTTCTCTTGGTGTCCGGAAAACCTGTCAGAAGTGATTCATGTTGATAGCAGAGGAACAAGGTAGCAGACAGAAAAATTACACTTATGACACTTCGTAGTACTTATGTAAGTATGCAAAAAAAAAAAAAAAAGCCATACCTGGAATTCAGCTTTCATACTACGGTGAATTCAGACCGCAGCCAATTCCCATAACAGCATAAAGGGGAGGTTCAGTCCAGTGGCTTTGCCTGGGCTGACATGATGCCATCAGTCTGATGCAGGCTGGAGGAAGCATTTCCTTTCTCTCCTCTCCCCTATGATCACACTGTAACTTTTTAGCCAGTCACAATTGGGACTGGCATTTTCAGGGGCAAGTTTTTGATCTGCACTATAACTAGGGGTTGGGCATAGCCAGCCCTGTATTTTGACTTTAAGAGGTGATATCTGTTAGAACTGTCCTCCTTACCTTGGTGGTCAGAATCCCACCATTTCAGACAGCTGAAAAGATAATTGGTACGCTTGGAGTTTGCATGTTCTCCCTGTGCCTGCGTAGGTTTCCTCTGGGTACTCCAGTTTCCTCCCACACTCCAGACATGCTGGTAGGTTGATTGTCTCCTGTCTACAGTAAATTGGCCCTAGTATGTATATGTATGAATGTGCCTGCCTTTACACGTACATGAACTTTAATGGCCCCCCAGTCTTAGTCCGTAGGGTTCAATATTAAGTTGGCCCCGCCCTTTGCACCTACAACAGCTTCAACTCTTCTGGGAAGGCCGTTTACAAGGTTTTAGGAGGGTGTCTATGGGAATATTTGACCATTCTTCCTGAAGCACATCTGTCAGGTCAGGCACTGATGTCGGACGAGAAGTCCTGGCTCACAGTCTCCACTCTAATTCATTCCAAAGGTGTTCTATAGGGGTGAGGTCAGGACTGTGCAGGGCCAGTGAAGTTCCTCCACCCCAAACTCGCTCATCCATGTCTTTATGGACCTTGCATTGTGCACTGCTGCTCAGTCATGTTGGAACAGGAAGAGGCCATTTCCAAACTCTTCCCACAAAGTCGGGAGCATGAAATCATCCAATATGTCTTGGTATGCTGACACCTTAAGAGTTCCCTTCGCTGGAACTAAGGGGCCAAGCCCAACCCCTGAAAAACAACCCCACACCATAATCCCCCCTCCACCAAACATTACACTTGGCACAATGCAGTCAGGCAAGTACCGTTCTCCTGGCAACCGCCAACCCAGACACGTCCATTGGATTGCCAGACAGAGAAGCGTGATTGGTCACTCCAGGGAACACGTCTCCACTGCTCTAGAGTCCAGTGGCAGCGTGCTTTACACCACTGCATCCGACACTTTGCTTTGCACTTGGTGATGTAAGGCTTGGATGCAGCTGCTCGGCCATGGAACCCCATTCCATGAAGCTCTCTACGCACTATTGTTGTGCTAATCTGAAGGCCACACAAAGTATGGAGATCTTTAGCTATTGACTCTGCAGACAGTTGGCGACTTCTTCGCACTGTGTGCTTCAGCATGCACTGACCCCACTCTGTCATTTTACGTGGCCTACCACTTCGTGGCTGTTGTTTCCAGTTGCTTCCATTTTGTTATAATACCACTAGCAGTTGACCGTGGAATATTTAGTAGCAAGGAAATGTCACAGATGGACTTATTGCACAGGTGGAAACCTATCACTAGGAGTGGACCGAAATTTCGGTGGCTGAAACATTTCGGCCAAAAACACCTCTATTGGCCATCTGCCGATATGAAAAAAAGCACCGATACAGGTGGTGGAAAAAACCCCACCCCCTCGCTGCTGCTGCCGCCGCTCGGTGTTTCTGTATGATCCCGGCACTGGGCATAGAGATTAGTGAAGGAAAGGTGACCTCCATTCATCTCTATGCCCTTGGAGGACCGGCACCTGGTTTTTTTTTTTTTTTTTTTTTTAAAGCCCTAGATCAGCGGTCTCCAAACCTTTCAAACAAAGGGCCGGTTTATGATCCTTCAGACTTTAAAAGGGCCGGAGTGTGGCCAGTGGGGGTAGAAAATGTTTTGGGCCCGGCATCATTTGGAATAAACATGGCCTCAGGGATGGTGGTCAGTAGGAGGAAGAGTAGTGCCCCATAATTGGCATTAATGGGAGGAATAGTACCACATAAGTGTTATCAATAGTGCCCCATTGTTGGTGTCAGTGGGACAAATACTGCTTCATATCATTGGGATGAATAGTGCCCCAAGGGCCGGATAAAGGCTAGCAAAGGGACACATATGGCCCTCGGGCCGCAGTTTGGATTCCCCTGCCCTAGATCAATGCTTTTTTTGATCTAATCCTTTACATTGTAGAGGAGAGATGTGGGGTCTTATTGACCCCATATCTCTCCTTAAAGAGGACTTGTCACTAATTATTTCTATCACAAGGGACGCATTCATTCCTTGTGATAGGAATAAAAGTTATTAAAAATTTTTTTAAAGGGACAGTGTAAAAAAAAAAAAAAAAAAAAAAAAGTTTAAAATACTCCGTCCTCGCACGTAGTGGTGAATGCATATGTAGGCCACACCCACATATGTAAACGGTGTTCAATCCACACACGTATCGCCATGAATGTTGGAGCAAGAGCAATAATTCTAGCACTACTAGACCTCCTCTGTAACTACACTGTTAACCTGTAGGAATTTTTAAAGCATCACCAATGGAAATTAAGTACCATAGTTTGATGCCATTCCATGAGCGTGCGCAATATTAAAGTGTGACATGTTGGGTATCGATTTACTTGCTGTAACATCCTCTTTCATATTTTACAAAATAATTGGGGTATATATTGTGTTTTTTTTATTTTTAATCAAAATCAATTTTTCTTTTTAAAAAAATATATATTAATTTTTAAAAACTGCCCGTTTCGGTTTTTGGCCAAGTGCATCCTGAATTTTTGTTTTCGGTTTTGGCACCAGAATCTTCATTTTGGTGCACCACTACCTATCATGGTACCATGCTTGAATTCACTGAGCTCCTGAGAGCGACCCATTCTTTCACAAATGTCTGTAGAAGCAGTCTGCATGCCTAGGTGCTTGATTGTATACACCCGTGGCAACGGAGGTGATTGGAACACCTGAATCCAATGATTTGGAGGCGTCTCCCAATACTTTTGGCAACACCTCACTCACCGCCCTTGAGATTGCCAATCACTTCAAAAACAAGATTGACACAATTCGCAAGGACATTGCCGCAACTCACACGCCCTCTCAACCCGTCCCCTCTCACACAGCTACCCCCTCATCCCCCCTCCCCCTCGACATTACCCGCAGGGACTTCGTCACTGCTCAAACTCCCTCCAACCCCGTTCCCCCTCACTCAGCTACCCCTCTCCCACGGCCCCACCACTGCTCTGACCTCCACTCCCACCCCACCCTACATTCCTCATACTGAAGCTCCCCCAACACTCCACACCTTTGACCTTACTACCATCGAGGAAGTCTCCAAGATCCTCTCTGATGCCCGCCTCACCACCTGCCCCCTCGACCCTATCCCCTCACAATTCCTACGACCTCCCTCCCCCCCTCCATCCTACGCTCCCTCACCCACATCTTTAATCTCTCCCTCTCCTCCGGCACTTTCCCCTCCCCACTGAAGCATGCACACATCACCCCCATACTTAAAAAGCCCTCCCTGGACCCCAATGACCCGAACAACCTCAGACCCATCTCCCTGCTCCCACTTACATCTAAACTCCTCGAGCGCCTCGTCTACACCCGCCTATGCTCTCACCTCAACAACAACAACCTCCTCGATCCCCTACAGTCTGGCTTCCGCCCCCTACACTCCACCGAAACTGCCTTACTCAAACTCTCCAACGACCTTCTAACCGCCAAAGCTAATGGCCACTATTCAGTGCTCCTACTCCTTGACCTCTCTGCGGCCTTCGACACAGTTGACCACCCCCTCCTCCTCAAAATACTACACTCCCTCGGCCTCAGAGATTCTGCTCTCTCCTGGCTCTCATCCTACCTGTCACAACGCTCTTTCAGCGTTACCTATAATGCTACCACCTCCCCCTCACTCCCCCTCTCTGTTGGGGTCCCTCAAGGCTCTGTCCTTGGGCCCCTTCTCTTCTCCATCTACACCTCCTCCCTTGGCCAACTCATACACTCTCACGGCTTCAACTACCACCTCTATGCCGACGACACACAAATCTATCTCTCAACCCCCCACCTCACCCCCTCGGTCTCTGCCCAAATCACACACCTACTGAGCGACATATCAGATTGGATGTCGCTCCACTTCCTTAAACTGAATCTCTCCAAAACCGAGCTCCTTGTCTTCCCCCCAGCCCGAACCCCATCCCCCATTGACTTCTACATCACATCCAACAACGCCAATATCAAACCCGCTCTGCAGGCCAGAGTACTTGGTGTCATTCTGGACTCCAACCTATCCTTCCAGCCCCAAGTCCAATCTTTAACAAACTCGTGCAGACTCCACCTCCGCAACATCGCCAAAATCCGCACGTTCCTAACCCCAGAAACCACTAAACAGCTCATCCACTCCCTCATCATATCACGACTCGACTACTGCAACTCCCTCCTCACTGGCCTGCCTCGCCGCTGGCTATCCCCGCTTCAGTCGATCCTGAATACGGCTGCCAGACTCATTCACCTTTCCAACCGCTCCATTTCCGCCACCCCCCTCTGCCAATCCCTCCACTGGCTTCCGATTGCGCAACGGATCAAATTCAAAATCCTAACACTGATTTACAAAGCTGTCCACCATACTGCCCCGAACTACATCACTGACCTAATATCCAAGTACCGCCCAGCACACACACTCCGCTCCTCACAACACCTCCTTCTCTCTAGTTCCCTGGTCTCCTCCTCCCATGCCCGCCTCCAGGACTTCTCCAGGGTGTCACCCATCCTCTGGAACTCCCTTCCCCAACCCATCAGATTATCACCTACTCTCCTCTCCTTTAGGCGCACCCTGAAAACCCATCTCTTCAGGGAAGCCTACCTCACCCCCTGCTAACTTGCTGACCTCCTCCACTCTTCCTACCACTCCATCCCCCACAGCTATCTCCTCCTGTACCACTATCCCATCCCTTCTAGATTGTAAGCTCGAAAGAGCAGGGCCCTCGATCCCCTCATGTTTTGCATTGTATTGGTATTGTTCTGTCACATGTTCTGTCCCCCTTTGTAATGTACAGTGCTGAGTGAACTATTGGCGCTTTATAAAAACTGTATAATAATAATAATAATAATAATATGTGTAAAGCAATTGACAGCGCTATAAAAGTACCTGTAATAAATAAATAAAATAAACTCCACTGGCTCTGCTAGGTAGCCTTGTCCCCAGAACCATGCAGGTACCATCAGATGGGAGGTCAATTAGCCACAGCCCAAGGAACTGCTGGCGTCCCAAGGAACCCTTGCTGAGAATGGCTGATCTAACCATTCCTTACCCTATTCAAACCTGTAAATGAAAAACGTTTGCTTGGTAAAATATGAAATGTTCCTTTAACTCCTGCACCCAGCCACGCTGGCTGCAGATATCCTTACTTGCTGCACTGCTATATAAAGAGGCAGGATTTATTTAAACCTGGTTTATTGCAGGGATCAGTATTGCCATTTTAATGTAGTTGAAATCTCCGAGCTTCATATAGAAAGCAGACTGCAGAGGGTCTGCGGATGACATTATTCCGGCCGCCCCCCAGGAATGCAGACCCAGAGCAGCTGTTGGCATCAGCTAAAATTCCTGCTGAACCATAAAATCCCATTACGGATTGTGATGTCTGTGGAGTTCTTGGAGCTCCTGGAGAGATTTGCTTCATTTGCTCTTAAGATTTTTGCTGAAATGTCATTTTGCCTGTTTCCTATGCTTTTATTCTTCAAAAGCTTCCTAAGACAGGTTTAGATGACAACAAATGACCAAACCTAGTTGGTAAGGAGGGGAAGGTGGGGGGGGCATTGAATTGGTTTGACCCTATTGATTGATTGGAGTGGGTTTTTTTTTTTTCTAGGAGGGGTTTCCAGCCATTTATTACAGGCATTTCTATAGCAAAGACAATTTTATGCAGCCCTATATTCACTCACCGGCCACATTTATTAGGTACACCTGTTCAATTGTTTGGTAACACAAAATACTAATCAGCCAATCACATGGCCGCATCTAGACGTGGTGAAGACGACTTGCTGAGGTTCAAACCGAGCGTCAGAATGAGGAATAAAGTGGATTTAAGTGACTTTGAATGTGCATGATTGTTGGTGCCAGATGGGCTGGTCTGAGTATTTCAAAAACTGTTCTCTCCCGGGTTTTTTTTTTCGCACAACCATCTCTAAGGTTTACAGAGAAAAAAAAAAAAATATCCAGCGAGTGGCAGTTGTGTGGATGAAAATGCCTTGTTGATGTCAGAGGAGACTCGGCAGACTGGTTTGAGATGATAGAAAGGCAACAGTAACTCAAATAACCACTCGTTACAACCAAGGTATACAGAAAACCATCTCTGAATGCACTACACTTAGAACCTTGAAGGAGATGGGCTACAGCAGCAGAAGACCACACCGGGTGCCACTCCTGTAAGAAAAGGAATCCGAGGCTGCTAATTCAGCTGCGGCAATCAGATGGTAGGGTCAGAATTTGGTGTAAACAACATGAAAGCATGGAACCATCCTGCCTTGTATCAATGGTTCAGGCTGGTGGTGTAATGGTGTGGGGGATATTTTTTGGGCACACTTTGGGCCCCTTAGTACCAATTGAGCATTTTTTCAACACCACTGCCTACCTGAGTATTGTTGCTGACTATGTCCATTCCTTTATGACTTCTGATGGCTACTTCCAGCAGGATAATGCACAATGTCACAAAGCTCAAATCATCTCAAACTGGTTTCTTGAACATGACAATGAGCTCACTGTACTCCAATGGCCTCCACAGTCACCAGATCTCAATCCAATAGAGCACCTTTGGGATGCGGTGGAACTGGAGATTCGCATCCTGGATATGCAGCCAACAATTCTGCAGCAATTGCATGATGCTATCATGTCACTATGGACCAAAATCTCTGAGGAATGTTTTCAACACTTTGCTGAATCTATAGTGCCTTGAAAGAGTATTCATACCCCTTGAAATTTTCCACATTTTGTTATGTTACAACCAAAAACATAAATGTATTTTATTGGGATTTTATGTGATAGACCAACACAAAGTGGAACAAAATTGTGAAGTGCAAGGAAAATGATAAATGGTTTTCAAAATGTTTTACAAATATGTGAAAAGTGTGGCGTGCATTTGTATTCAGCCCCCTCGGAGTCAATACTTTGTAGAACCACCTTTCGTTGCAATTCCAGCTGCAAGTCTTTTTGGGGATGTCTCTACCAGCTTTGCACATCTAGAGAGTGATAATTCTGCCCATTCCTCTTAATAAAATAGCTCAAGCTCTGTCACATTGGATGGAGAGTGTCTATGAACAGCAATTTTCAAGTCTTGCCACAGATTCTCAATTGGATTTAGGTCTGAACATTGACTGGGCCATTCTAACACATGAATATGCTTTGATCCAAACCATTCCATTGTAGCTCTGGCTGTATGTTTAGGGCCGTTGTCCTGCTGGAAGGTGAACCTCTGCCCCAGTCTCAAGTCTTTTGCAGACTCTAACAGGTTTTCTTTTAAGATTGCCTTGTATTTGGCTCCATCCATCTCTGACCAGCTTCCCGGTCCATGCTGAAGAAAAGCATCCCACAACATGATGCTACCACCACCATGTTTCACAGTGGGGTATGGTGTGTTCAAGGTGATGTGCAGTGTTAGTTTTCTGCCACACATAGCGTTTTGCTTTTAAGCCAAAAAGTCCAATTTTGGTCTCATCTAACCAGAGCACCTTCTTCCACATGTTTGCTGTGTCCCCCACATGACTTCTCGCGAACTGCAAACAGGACTTCTTATGGCTTTCTTTCAACAATGGCTTTCCTCTTGCCACTCTTCCATAAAGGCCAGATTTGTGGAGTGCACGACTAATAGTTGTTTTGTGGACAGAATTTCCCACCTGAGCTGTGGCTCTCTGCAGCTTCTCCAGATTTACCATGGGC